TGACACGAGTCAGCATTCGTAGTGAACGGAACGCAGGACTGCATAAGCTATTCAGCCAGCGGCGATAGTGGGCCAGCGGCGATGGTGGATTTCTGTTGCCACGCTTTCCGACCACTGTGCGATCAACCCTTTCTAGAAAGCGCCATGCATTAGACTTCTATTCAGTATCCTGAACTAGACTTCCGGGTCAGGTCGGCTGGGGTGAACAGGTCAGTCTTTTAGCCTCCCCTCCTCCGACGGCGAAAGATCAAAGATAGATCTCGCCATTGCATACAATCGTGCTTAAAAAAGCGTTCAGGGGTAAGGTCTCCTCACATTCCGTGTAGGAGAAGAGCTAGGAGACGAGGTGAACCACAGGTTGGCCTTGCATGAAATGATTGACATATGTATTACAGGCAGATCTGCCGGCAGATCCCGTCTCCAGAGTACAAATTTCCGCGGGTGCCGTACTTTCACCTTGCGATGACTGTATTGTGAAAAAGAGTGAGAAAAAAGGGACACTGAGGCAGAAAAGGGACACTTTCTGAGACTGCTGACTGGACCACTTTGGCAAAAAGGAGTTCCTCGAAGTGGTGGAGCGCGCTGTCTTTAGCTCTCGGATCGCCCACGGTCACTACACAATACCCCAGGATTTTAAATTAAAATAGATTGTTTATCATTCTGGTTCAGCTACAGCACCACGCTTCGAGCCCATAACACAGTAATGTGATCCCTTTAGACAAATCGCCCCTGGAATGCGTTCCCTAAGCAGGGGCGATTTGTGCGCATCGGGAACGTTGCCCTTTAAGGTCAATGAGATTCTATGAAATATGCGAACACGCCAATAAACTCTATAGCACCCCTGTTTAGGTCACGAATACTCGGCGCACGGGGAGGGGGCATTCTGCTTTTCATAGATTTGCCAACCCATCTAGGTACCCTTTTTCGAGTTGACACGTTTTAGGATGGTGGCTAGACGATCTTGCTCCAGCTTCACAAGCGTTCACAAGTTTTACCAGAGTGAGATTTGTAAACCGGAACCAGGGAAGCAATTATAATACAAAATGCCCCCCGTCGATAAACAGCGCCAACACGAAGGATGCACTCCTGGATACGGAAGCAGAATCGAGGTTTCTGTGTGATAGTGCAGCCTTTCAGATGTTTAGATTCAGTAAGTCATCATGTTGAGGGGAGTATGCACAACTCACAAAGCTTAGCGCTGCATCTTGTGCAAGCACTCTTACCCAGCTTTATCCCTATGCCTTTCCAGGAACCTCTAACTTTCCCCCTACCCGACAATTGAGAAAACAGAGAAAAAGTGGACCGGGCCACAACATGTTGTGGCAGACTTCTCCAGGGAGTTGAATACGATACGATGAGCTCACTTCTACGGCTCCAAGAAAACTCCTCGCTAAAAAGTTCCCGAGGGATCGTTTGCCCTACTTCCGAGATAGCCCTGTGAGCAAATTTTGAATATTAGCAAGAATATATCAAAGAAACGGATCGCTTTTAAATTTGTTATCCTTGAAGAAGGCGGTACTAGCAACTCGGAACCACGCCATCGCGTTGTGATCATTTTCTGAAAATTACGACCCTAATTCCATACTAAAATACGACCCCCTTTTTGGGAGTTGGTACGACCCCCCCCTCCCAGCCCTCTGTCCTTCCTCATCGAACCGAGCCGTCGAGCGGGGTGGGGGGGAGCAGAATTAAACTATCATTTTCAAGTGTCGGAAATAGTAGTGCGTCCATGAACTGACCAAATACGACCCCCCTCCCAAAAATGACCAAGTACGACCCCCCCTCCCTCGCGGTCAAATACGACCCCCCCCTTGTGATGATCACAACGATGCCGCTGCCCTGCCTGGAACCTCGTGAATGAAGAATGCAGGCAGGGCACCTCTATTAAGAGGAAAATCCACCCACCCTCCCCTCCCCCCAAAACTTCTGCTATGACTGATATGACCCGCCTTGCGCTCCCTCAATCTTCCTAAGTTCCTCGAAATTCCTGCCACTTCTCCGGCTTTTGCGTTGTTTTTTTTTCATGAATTCTCAACTTTTTTCCAAGAAAAATTTGCCGTCAAGCGGGAAGACAGCGCACCTAAAACGCGAAAAACCGAGAAGAAGCAAATTGCAGAAAACCTTTTCTAAGGCAAATACGACCACTCCGTCTCTCCAGGCACCGACACGACCCACTCTCTCTGGGAGTCTCCAACGTAGATAGGACGTGTCCTGAGCAATACAGGTGAGTCTGAGGGAGATAGAAAACCCAAAAACTGGCTGGCACTGCTGTTATCAAACTCGATATGGTGTAATTGCTCATTCAAATTACCCCTTTGCTAAAGAGTGTGAAGCGATGGACCAGTGCTATAAATTCTCCTCGAACGCACCCCATAATTAAGTCTGTAATTGCCGAATACCGTAGTTTCTGAATATTGTCACTCTTGCCCGATTTATCTCGGATAAGTCGTGAAACTTTTAGAAAAATAAGCCAAAATATGAGAATTTTTAGTTCTCGGTGGGGCACCCGATGCTTAGACCTTTGTGAAGACCAGTAGAATTCTGTGGGAAACTTGCTAATCGAAAACTATGTAGCTTCACTGGAGAGCAGGTCTGTCCAAAAAGATTTTTGCGGGTTAATAGGTACTGTCAAAAGGAACTAGCGAAAGTGCAAAGTGCCCTCTCCAAGCCGAACAGCGACCATATTTTAGTGGGTGCTGTTTATATTCCATTCATATTGGTTGTTCTATAGTGCACCCCTTGACTGGCTTTTCAATGACGTTTTGATAACCTCAAACTGCCTCTCACTTTTGTGTAACGGAGTCAGTGGAACTACTGGTAGAGGTAGACAACAAGTTGAGTATGTTTTGCAAACCGGTCGTGAAGAGATTTTGATGGAGCGACGGAAAGGGACAGTCGATAAAGGCCTTCAGAGGATTTTTGGGTGAAGAAGAGAGCGTCAAGATACAAAATTCGCAACATCAAAACTTCGCTGGTTAGTTCTGGGAACTCCACATTTTTCATTTGAAAGCTATCTATCCACGACGAGTGGGCTGTGTTTCCGGGTTATGTAGGTGTTGGGGACGAGAACAAGTCTTTTCCAGTCAATTGGGTGGGTTTTCCCGAAGTCCAAGGGTTATCATAAGTGTCCATATGATAGCCCTTAGACTTCGGGAAAAAAATAAGGATTTGGAACCTATGTGTAGCAATTCGACGCATGGGTTGAGAAGAATAAGGTCTTCGCCGTTGAGAGATTCTTTTGGGATGCGCCATGCATTGGAATGTGGCTAAAAATTCCAAATCCATGAGCCTTGTTCTTATCCTCCAGAACGAATCCGCTTCGAAAAAAATTGAGCAGTAGCAGGATGCCTCGCTGGTGATACCGTCACCTTACCATCAGTCTAGACGCGATTCAGGTCTATCCTTCTACTGCTCTAGAGGAAATCTATCTTCTATTCCTCACCAGGAATCTGATCTATCATGTAAGCGAATCAGTGGAAGCACAATAAATGGCGGCGCTAATCGGCTTGGGAGGGACATTTCGCACTTCTGCTAATTCATCTTAAATAAGTTGTGAAGTCGAGTCAGCCTGTCAAGTTATATGTAAGCTACTTCGGTTACACGAATTCACAGGTCTTCACGAGGTGGTCTTTACAGACTTCGCTGAGGACCATTTGGCGCCCCCACCAAGCCTAACCGAGCTGAAATAGTCAGTGTCGAGATATACGGGACTAATGAGGCATGAAAAAGGAGTACTGCCTCTTCGCAGCGGCGCCATCTTCTTCCGATGGAGCTTGATCATCACATATGTAAATTCTTGAAGCTCTAGCTCTTAATCAAGCTCTTTTAGAATGCGCCATGCGCCGTATTTCCTTTGGAACCACACTGATATTGTGAATGTGACTCTCCCTATACGTCAGTGTTTTCATTCTCCCAGACAATTTTGGTCCAACCGGCTCCTGAGGAAAGGAAAGCTCGGCTGGAATGGGCGGAATTGGACGCGCAAGGCTGGAATGGGCGGAATTGGACGCCGCAAGATGGCATGGGAGTAATGCATATAGCAAGAAGAAGGGCAGGGTACTACTACGCAATTTTAGCCTCTACGAACCATATTAGGTAGTCAACTCCTTTGTTAGTGGGAATTTTACGCGACGTGATCAGACCAACGGCTAAAAGGAGTGGCTAGAGGGCTAGAAAGAGCGGCTAGAGCACAGGATTCCCACAAACGTTCTCATCCGTTTTTGTTATCTTTTTCAAGGTGTCCGTTGACGCCATAGATGTTATCTAGCCAACGTTCACATCGCTCCTCTCAAATCGACGGTAAGAGCGGCAATAGAGGGCGGCGATCGCGCAACGTTATGTGCCAATCAACATGTTACGCCTACCGCCCCATATCAGCAAAGTAAAATCTTTGAAGAAATCAAGTAAAAACGCAACGATAAGAGGTAGCAATTTGTCGGCGGGGGTTTGCGGTCAACAACCTCCATCGAGGTCGGAATCTACCGGTCGAATGGGTGCAACTTTAGATGGCCAGGGAAGGCGCATGGTCCTAAAACCCTAATTCGCAGTCAAAACGCAGATCATAGGGTGGATTCCAAAAGAAGCTACTGAGCCGAAACAGTTGCAAGAACAAACTGGACCAGAAACAGGAAATGAAAGGAGGAAGATGAAGAAATTGAGATGAAGAGGAAGAAATGAGGAAATCCAGCAATAACCGTAGAAATGGGGATTTTTCGAGTGATCTATGACACAAATGGGGGACAAGGTTCGGATGAAATAAGAGACCTTCGATAGTGGTTCGAGGTTTGACGAGGAAGTGCCAAAACAGTTTATGGTCGACTTGATTGCTGCTGGCACCCGGCTAAATAAACATACACACACACCACACCCGGACGGACGTAGGGACGGTGGGTGGTGGCTGGCAGGCTGGCTGGCTCAATGTGTAGGCAAATTGATCGGCTCGAACGTGGTATGTACTGTCCGACCTTCCCGTAGACACACAACCAGCCACGGCGCTGCTTATTCACTCACACACTCATCTCTACTTCGAGGTCACTTACGCGGTCAATTTAGGCACTCTGGCGGATCCCGGATCCCGAAGTATATGTGAAGGAAAGTAAATTACGTGCTGAACCGTAGCATCACTTCTGTCCCGTCTGATCTGGGAGTGAGGCAGTACATTACCTAGGGCCTACCCTTTTTTAGGGGGTTGGTACGACACCCCTTACCCCCCCCCCCCTCCGGCCCTTCTGTCCCTCCTCATCGAATCGACCCGTCGAGCGAGAGGGGGAGGGCATATACGGGGGGGGGCAAAAAAGTCACTTTTCTTCATTGACTTTCGAGGCGCTATAATAGATTATTTTACCACCATATTAAAGAGCATATTAAATACTATTATGACACTCCGCCATAGCCGCTCTTTTCTTTCTCATCCTACTTACCCCTTCTTAGATTTCCCCAATGTCCTACTAGTTTTAAAGGATTTCCCAGGAATTTCCCTACTTTTGCTCAAAAATTTTGCAGTCGAGAGGGGGGGGGGTAACACGTGAAACAGGAAAACCACGAGTCAGCAACCTCTCTCAGAAGGTCAGAAGGAAAATACGACCCCTCCCCCTTTACAACGTCCCTGAAACAAGAAAAATCAACTATCAAAAAAATTTTTCTCAGCCAAATACGACCCCCCTGTTGGAAAATCCCCAACAACGATGTGCCCTGATATTACCCAGAAATGTTATGACACTATCGCGCAGTTGGCTTTTCCTTTGCTATTGTTTTACTTTGATTAGTAACTCGACGCCAATCGTCCTCCTAGACTAGTTAAATCCTTGACATTGAACACTTCACAGATAGCCTTGCTATTTAGTAACCAATATAAACGGCCCCATCTTGGCGACATTCATCCAGAAAACTTATTGGGACATTTCCGCTGGGGCATTTGAAGGGGCAAAGTCGACCAAAAAACACCGATTTTGTCGGCGCACCTGCTGGAACCGTATCTAAGCTGAGCTCGTAGTTGTGTTAGTCCAGTGTGAGTGAGTGCAAAGCCTTCGCCGCTGGTCAATCTCTTTTTACTATCACGTTTTACTTCCAATCAGATTCGTACTCACTGAATGCGATGTGTCCTTTACAATGACTTGCGGGAGGGACCGATCCATCGTCCCGGGGATAGAAGGCTCGATTGGCTTGCGCGTGAGCCATTCAGGGGTTCGAACCCCAGATAGAGCGCGTGGGAAGCGTGTTACTTGCTACAACACCACCTTTTCCATTCTAATACAGGAAGGTATAACTACCGCGAAGGTACCTGGTGCGGCAACTGATTGTCTAGGAATGTATGGCCCCAGCTTTGAGCAAAAAAATTTTAAAATCTTGCAATATGTCGCGGGCTCCACACCATCTGTTCCTATATGGTGAGAGCATTCAGTGCTGGAAGGTGCAAATAAACTATTGTGTGGCAGATATGGAGGACGTCCCTGTGCCACGTGGAACCAAAGCTTCAGTTTGAGTGAACCACTCTATGCTACAGTGTTCGGTTCCCTCAAGTCGTTGGTCCCTTTGCGTCATTCGTAACCTCACCCGGGAGTTTGTGCGGAACTTAGGCACTTTCAGTATTGCCCAAGGGCTCATGGTTCGTGAAGAGCATAAAGCCGGGCGGCGTAAAGCAGACGGAATGTACGTTTTGGCGCGGCGCCAAACCTGCTCATCCACCATTGGCGGAGAGGTGACGCGTAACAGATAGTTGAAAAGACTGAATAGACTCGGCGTATCAGGCCTACATTAGTCGCTATTGCTTCTGCTTAGAAAACAATGCCTAGAAATGTGTTTGTGCAGCGCCCAAATCCACCCCCTATACGGCCACGTCCGTCCGCAACGTGAGCCAAGAATGGCCATTACAGAAGAGAAATTGTAGTTGTGATTTTCTCAAATACCGAAACACTGCTGCATCCAATAAAGACGCCGATTTCAGAACATTTATCAGAAGCTGAAAAATCGTTCTCGCCCCTCACTCTTACCATACTTGGTTAGAGTTTAATGATTCGGCAAACGCCATCGCTGGCTTATATTCGTCCCGTAGAAAGTGAAAACATGAGCAACCATTCCCGAAATTTCTTTCTCCTATATTCTACTGTGGCTCTAAATGGAGGTGCATCGGCCGTGGCTGATTACATACCGCGGTCGCCAATATTTATGCTTTGGTGGTGTTTGCTGAGATCTCAGCCAAGCTTTTAGATCAGGTGAATGCCGCCGACAATCCGTCCTTAATCTCTCAGCGGCAATTAGTGGCATCAAGCCAATGACACATTAGACGGGGAGTAGGACTTACTGTAGAAGAGCGATCGTGAGAGAACATTGAATGACCCTTTGACTTGCCCTCTTCCCAATCCCAAACAGTGAACGCATCATTCCAAACTATTACCATTAGGGTTCCAGCTAAGTATCTTATGCGGGAGCAACTCACGTTCGTGCGCCGTGAGAATTTCACAGCGGTTTAGGCCCTAAAAAATGTCTTTTTTGATGGTAGTTCACGGCGAATTTAACCGCCAATCTAGGATACTCAATTTGTAGGAGCGGGAACACTGGTACTTGGCCTTAGTAAAATATTTCCCGGTTATTGACTTTTCGTGATCTTCTTTTTCGTTTTACATGAGCTATACCCCTCCCCCACTTTATCCATCCCGGAAAGTAGGAACTTGGGAAAGGTTAGTAATAGGGAATGTAGAATGACGAAGGCAGATCGGATCAGAGGAGGATTTTTGGGAAAGTTGTACTCCGCAAGAATTCTTCGCAGCGATAGGAGGTGACCCCTGCTTTGGGAGGTCTCGGATTGAGCAGCCACTGAAAGACTTGCTAAGCTGAGGGTCACTCTGAACGTGTCTGATAGAGCCTGGGAAAACCAGCGTCTATCAGGGCTCATGTCGATGCGGAGAAAGCTCGCGACCATTTCCAGAGCAGCCGGCCAAAAATAAATGCTTCAGGAGCTCTTTTTTGAAGACGCGCCCGTTTTTCTGAACGATAGAACCCTCCAGAACTCGTCCACTGAACCTCTTCCCCAACAAGTTGGAGCCCCTCTATCCATGACCTCAGGGCAAGGAGGTTCAAACACGCCTCAAGGCCAAATCAAGCAGAAAACAGAGAACTGAGACATTAAGGCAGTTGGCACGAGTGGTTTCCTACTTGCCTAAAATGCGCTAAGTAGGGCGGCTGCTATCAGTGGGGGAAATGCGAAAGACGAGAGAAGACGCTCAAAAATCCTGCGAAGAAAAGGCCCCAGCCCGTTCTCAGTGACTTGAAAATCGATTTCGGACGAGTTTCCCGTAGGCATCTTGCCAATCACCGCTACCGAAGATACGGCTGCATATGTGTACCCATGTATGCATGCAGCATCACGGCCGCTTCATCACCAATCCTTTCGCTTCATAATTTGCTTAGCAAATGAATGAATACGAGCGTCAGAAACGGTCGTCCGTTTGTGGGCGGGCGGGCAAGGAAGGCGTTTGGGACGTAAAGTTGTTGCTCAATAGGGCGTTATAGAGGTACCCTCCTTGGAAAAGGCTTCACGCAGCGCCTGTCCGAGGTCACGGAATTCTGTTAAGCCAGTTGTACAAATCCTACACCTGTATAACGATTTATCGTTGCCAACTGCCTTTAAGGCTTGTTACGCGAGTCATACCACCTGCCATTTTTTGGGCCGCATGTGCTTTTTCAAGCGCAAGGAGCACCCGTTTGGTTTACACTTTCTACAGACCAGGTCATATTGACCCTGACCTAAGTCAATTTACGGCTCAGTTACGTAGGCGGAAGTGCGCAGGGTAGCCTGAGCAGAATTCCGTGCGTTTGGCTGTCCTTCGGTCGCTTGATGATGATGCGCGACACAGGCATCAGAACTTTAAAACTGGCCACCGTCCTTACGTACCTGTTCAGGTTTATTTCATAAAGTTGGCTCTATTTGGCCATTTCTGCTCATTGTGGTGAGGGTAAGCGAGTGGTTATAAACTCACGATATAATAAACTTCCTTTTGAGCAATTGTTTTCGTGGAAATGCAGTTTCATGATTACAGTTATCTTTGATCGAATGTCAGCGAGGTGTTTAGATACAAAAGCGCAATAAAAAATGCATAGGAAGTGCGGAAAATTCAGAGGAATCGGTTGCACCCCATGGCATGGTTACCACGGGACAACCCGTCAAGCATCCCTCGGGAATGCAAAGCCTAAGATCGCTCCACAGATATAGAGAACACAAGCCAAAAACTGTACCTCTATAAGGTCTGGCAATCATAATCAGATCTGAGGAGTTCCTCTATCGTTAAGTTTCTGGGCGCAGTTCGGCTTGCGTGGAGGCACTGATCGTAATCATCAGACCACTAAGCTTGTACACCACGCACAGCAATATGTAACAGGTCGAGAAAGCAGCTGTGACTTCGTGTGAGCAACGGCCGAGCATCACCAGCGGGGGCGGCAACACATGGGTGGGGGGGGGTGGGGCGGCGGGCGGGGGGGGGGGGGGGGAGGGGGGGGAGGGCGGAGGGGGGCGGGGGGGGCACGGAGGTGATTACTATTTTCGCGCTTCCGAAGATAAGTAGTAAGTTACGGGAGTTAAGAAATCTCACCAAAGATAGAACTGTAAACACTTGTGTTACTCAACATGAAGGAACTAGGGAAAGTGCAAAATGTCCCCTCTAAGCCGAACAGCGCCAGTTTCCCTCTGAATGCAAGTGCAACGAAACCTGAACTATCGCGTTGATCTCTACCCCCCCCCCCTTTCAAAAATATCTTTAACTGTATATTTCAGTCGTTAAACGTTTCCGAAAAAGCTGCTGAACCCACCAAGAATTCATGATGACTTACATTGTCCAGTAAAATCAATACACTAATTTGCAACAGTCAGGCATACTAGATTATGACAAGCTGCTAGGTCAGTGAATGGAACTGAAGCGGTCAGAGGGCAGACAAGGCAAGATCGGCAACGAGAAAGGTGTGCGGTAGGGATTTCCGCGCGGTACGTGCAAACACCCGCGTCGGAGGTGCATTGTCAACGAGAAAGAATTGACTGCACCGCATACAATAGAAGAGCACAGTCTGTCAATGGAAATGGACCGCGGATTGACCGTACCTTCCGCAATTCGGGAAATACGATTGAGGCGAAACCTCGACGAGGGGGGCAGTAAGGCTCCATTTGTCACTTGGGGTGAAGTTATAGTGTAGTTCGCTGCGAACGGCTGGGCGTGTCAGGCGGGATGAACTTTGGCGCGGTGCCAAACCCGTTCTCCACCAGTTGTTGAAGCGAGCAAATGATATGACTGTATCATATCGTTCGTATTATTTTCTACCACTTTTTGTCGCATGCGCGCTTCAACAAGAAGGCAGAGAACGGCTTTGACGGCGTGACACACTCATACTGCCTGACACGCCCAACCGTCCGCAGCGAACTAGAGTATATCATTCCCATAAGGTAAAACATTCCAATATCCCGAAAGCTTTAGCGTTGGTAAAGGCGTTCAAAAACAAAAGTGGAGTATCTGTCTTGTCCACCATCAGCGACAGAGCGAGTGTAAGTTTCTACAGCTCATAAGCAAAACCTCATTCTGTTCACTTACTGAACAGCTTAATAAGATGGACAGAATAAGGGGTTCGTCTGGAAGAGGACGGAGCAGACCACTTCAATTTATCTTCACCCACAACTCTTTTTCTTTCTTCTGAACTGAGCCCTTTTTGTGTGTTCTAGAACCTTACACTCGCTCCGTCATTGATGGGGAAGGAGAAGGGGGGGGTTCGCATTCTCCTCGCAGTGTTTTTCCCCGCTTCACAGGTACTATTTACTCCCCCTCGCCAGCACTCGCCAGCAAAATTTTTGGGGAACAAGTAGTAAAATTTTCGGTAAAATCCGGAAAAACTGGAGAAAGTGGTAGGCTACTTTGTCCGATGGCAGTGAAATGATTGTGGAACGTTTCTCCAAAAGGCTCAACGCTCAACCAATTGCAGAAACCTTTGTTGCCAAGGTAGTCAGGTCCGCAACATCTGTGACCGTCCCTTTTGCGTCTTCGCAGAGACGGGAGGGCTGGCGGATCGTTCAGAACTCGAAGGTACATACGGTACCCACAAGTTGTTCCGCCCATCGAAGACGATATATGTTGTCTGTGATTCAGATGGCATCCGTTCTATATAAGACCGACCTTCAGTATTCATTCAAAAGGGCGCGTGCAGTGCAGTCGCTTCATTAGTGATACAGTTTTACTGGTGCGATACTTACGGTGGATTACGGTAGGCCAAGCTTTCTACGAGAAATTCAGAGCTAATTTATGTTGTAAACTCACTGCTGTGCTATTTCCTTGCTTTTTAAGAGCTGTTTCAAGGTATTCGCTGGTGGGTAGAAACGGTCGGGAATCGAAGACTGGTTACATACGGCGGTGCCGATTTTCAGACATGGTCCGGAAAACTCGCAGATCTCTGACCTCGCTTCTGGTCAAGTTACTGACCACCCACGCTTTTATCTTCAATTTACACTAGCAATGTATAGCAATCACGGGTATGCCTTCAAGATAATAGTACCATCTGCAAGCCGGCGCAAAGAGTGTAGCTTGACGATAATAAAGTCCTTGAGGTATCCACAGAGCCTCGAATTCTGGCGTTTCCAGGGGAAAGAGCATAAGTACTGTTGCCGGAATTTCAGCTTTCAAATAAAAAGATCTCACTGGATATGTCACTTTAAGGTTTTGAGCCATGTAAACCTAAGAAATAACAGAGTGCAACCAGCACATCAACTTACTTCTGTCTGAGATCTTGTGCCATGGCTGTAATGGCGCAGTCTTCTCGGGCGGGCGGTTGTAACGTCGGGAAGTTCAACACATATGGTATGTTAGCGACACCTTGCTGAAGAAATACGCCTAGAAGATTCAGTCAAATGGAAGGGTTTAGGTCAAGCCGAGATATGGGTCCTCTTTACCACTGAAAGTGTTCCAACACTTTATGACAGGGGTGCGATTCTGTCATCAGGGCGCGTCGTGCGTTGGGGATTCCCAACTAAGTAAAACGAGTAGGTCATATTTGGTCGCTAGAAAGAGGATCCGCGCATATGCCTCTCATCTTCCCCATCCACGATCTACGACAGTTTTTGAGTAGAAAACTTTAGGATTTGTGCGGAAAATGCTAGAAATTTGGGGAGAACTCAGGTGGTAGGTAGGATGGGAGCTGGAAAAGGTCGTGCCAGCGAAAGAACTGCTGAGGGCATCGCATTTTGCTAAATTTTCCACCAACGGCAGGACTTGCCCTGACTGTCAATGTTGTGTGCGTCAGGTGTGGCAAGACAATCGTAATCTTCCGCGCTGGGCGTTTCGAGCGACCCGCGCATGCGAGAGACGAGTTGTCCTGCCGATTAAGTTTAAAATCAAAGCAAACGGTAGAGATCTCTATCGCCCAGCAAGAGATCTTGCCTCCGCTTGAAATAACATGTGTTTTGCTGCTCCAGTCGAGAAACTGAAGCACACCGAGAGTCTGCCGCACATACGGTACAGCAAGTCACACGCCTCTTGTCCGTTTCTCCGAGAAGATTCACGTAGTGGAGCAGGGAA